CAAGATCCTTGCTACTTATAGAAAAGTCAATGGAGAAAGTACCAGAGTGGATCAGAAATGGGTTACATACTGTTAGGCAGAATAGCCTTTCCAGGAGGGACATTCATTACTCACCCACTGAAGATTTTAACAGGCAGATAAAGGGCAAATCTGATCAGGCTAAGAAGGCCTAGAACTGAGCATATGTTCAGGGATAACAGAGTAGAAACTAAAGATCTTCAATATCCTTTTAAAAACAAACTTAAGCCGGGCGCGGTGGCTCAAGCCTGTAATCCCAGCACTTTGGGAGGCTGAGGCGGGTGGATCATGAGGTCAAGAGATCGAGACCATCCTGGTCAACATGGTGAAACCCCGTCTCTACTAAAAATACAAAAAATTAGCTGGGCATGGTGGTGCGTGCCTGTAATCCCAGATACTCAGGAGGCTGAGACAGGAGAATTGCCTGAACCCAGGAGGCGGAGGTTGCGGTGAGCCGAGATCGCGCCATTGCACTCCAGCCTGGGTAACAAGAGCGAAACTCCATCTCAAAAAAAAAAAAAAAAAAACTTAAAAAAAAATACTAAAAAATAATAGTCTTCATATTATATAACAATTTTCTTTTCTTTTTTCTTTTCTTTTTTCTGATTTTTTTTTTTTTTTTGAGACAGGGTCTCGTTCTGTCACCCAGGCTGGAGTACAACAGAATGACCAGGGTTCACTGCAGCCTCGACCTCCCAGGCTCAAGTGATTGTTCCAGTTCAGTCTCCTGAGTAGTTGAGTCTACAGGCATGCGTCACCATGACCAGTTAGTTTTTTTATTTTTTGTAGAGATGGGGTCTTGCTATGTTTCCAGGGCTGGTCTTGAACTCCTGGGTTCAGGCAATCCTCCTGCATCAGCCTCCCAAAATGCTGGGATTATGGGTGTGAGCCACCATGCCCAGCCAACAATTATCTAATAGCAGTCCACAGGGCTTCAGAGAGTCTGCAAAATGTGTGCGTTTTTAAGATAGGACAATTTAAAAAAAAAAAAAAAAAAAAGATGCGCACTCAAACATGTTCCAGGCCAAATGCTAAGACACTGACGCCTGCCAGCACACACAATTTTGTATTGCTAGGACAGCTCAGTATTATGTTGCCCTCAGAACAGAGCTTGTCCTCCCATCTCTGATTAATCAAAGTGACTACACAGCATGCTGTTCGGGAAAAGTCACCCTGACAATGGCCATGTGTATCATGCTTGTCTCACTGTTGTGTAACCAAATAGAGAAAAACAAATGAGCCATTGAAGTGCTCCAAGTCACCAACTGTCTGTCACTCGTAGCTCTGACAGCATATCAGAATTCATGGGAATATGCCCACCATTCACATTTGGCCTCACAAGTAAAGATTATCCATTTCGAACTTTCAAAACTGTTACTGTTACCTGTTACACATTTTGGGGTTCTATGAAACAGTCCATTAGGAAAAGGGGCTCTAATATTCAAAAATCAAAAATGTTTGAAAACCACTGAACCAAGGTATACTAAAGGTCTTAAATATCAGGTACCCTTGAATCCCAGAGGTTACTATGAGGCCTATTCAAAAAGATAAGACTCTCTCTCAGCCTAAAGTGTGTGTATGTGTGTTTGTATGTACACGCATGTATGAACTGGTAGTGCTGGGGAGGGGTTAGTCAGCCAGCCTAGATGGTACTATTATGTTTCAAAAATAATTTTTTTTTTTTGTTTCACTTTTCAGCTGTAAATATAAATCCCCATAGCTAAGGCCCTATAGGGAAAGAGCATTTGACTGGGTGCCCTGGGTTCAAATCATAATCTGATGACTTATTTAATGGTTCTACAACCATGAACAAAATCATATCTTCGTAATTTTGTTTTCCCAAATAAATGACTTGAGATAACCTTGTTAGAGGTGAGATGGTACTGTGAAAACACTCCAGAAACTTTAAATCACTACTCAGCTGTACACAGCTGCTTTAGCTCCACAGAGTTGCTTTAGTTCTACTAACAAAAAGAGTATGGCTGTGGTATATCCATAGCATGGAATATTACTGGACAAAGAATAAATGACCACTGAAACACACAACAACATGAATGAATCTCAAGGATATTATACAGAGTAAAAAGGGCAACTCTCAAAAAGATACACTCCATGTGATTCCACTAACCAAGAATCGTAGACTACATAATTCTAGAGTTAAAACAGTTTAGTGTTTCCAGGGTTAGGGATAAGTATGTCTATAAGGGGTACAATGAGGGAGTCTCACCTTGATTGTGGGAGTGGTTACACAAGGCTATACTTGTGATGAAAGCAGACAGAGTTACATGAACACACAAATGAGTGTGTGTAGATCACTGGCAAAATCTGAATAAGCTCTACTGATTGTGTCAACGTCAACTGGTCTTTGTAGTTTTGATATCCTACTGAGGGGTTTATGGGCTGTTGGCATGGAAAGAAGACTGGCCAAGAAATTCATGGGACTTTCCTACACATTTCTTTGCAACCTCCAATGAATCTATAATTATTTTAAAATAAGTGTTTTTTGGCTTTTTTTTTTAAAGCCCTGGAGAAAATAAAAGGCAAAAAACCAAGTACATTTACTCACTCTCTAGTCTTTCTGAAAGTTTAAAGAACTAAGGCAAAGTCCCAATGTTTCAAGAAATTAAAGAAAAGGAGACTGTTGAGTACAAAGATAACAAATACGAAGATGAGAGGCAAAAACACAACTGTATATTAAGTAAAGATCCAAAAGTGAATTTTAAAAATCCATGCCATGCAGACCCCAAGGTCAGGAGTTCAAGACCAGCCTGGCCAATATGGTGAAACCCCATCTCCACTAAAAATATATAAATTAGCTAGGTATGGTGGCGGGCATCTCTAGTCCCAGCTACTTGGGAGGCTGAGGCAGGAGAATCACTTGAACCTGGGAGGTGGAGATCACACCACTGCATTCCAGCCTGGGTGACAGAGCAAGAATCCGTCTCAAGAAAAAAAAGAAAAATTACCATAACAAAAATATTTTGCCAGGCATGATGGCTCAGTAATGCCAGCACTTTGGGGAGGCCAAGGCGGGTGGATCACTTGAGGTCAGGAGTTCGAGACTAGCCTGACCAACAAGGAGAAACCCTGTCTCTACTAAAAATACCAAAATTAGCTGGGTATGGTGGCACATGCCTGTAATTTCAGCTACTCAGCAGGCTGAGGCAGAAGAATCGCTTGAACCCAGGAGACAGAGGTTGCAGTGAGCCAAGATCGTGCCATTGCACTCCAGCCTGGGAAACAAGAGCAAAACTCTGTCTCGGGAGAAAAAAAAACCCACCAAAAATCCAGGCCATGCCAACCTACAAATATTAAAAGGGCAAGGAAATAATACTGTAACACAGAAAGCAAGCCAAAGGGGCTGGGCCTGTTCCTTAAAATCTCTCGACAGGCTATACAGATTCTTATTGGAAAGTGGGCAGCCACCCCCTTTACTGGGAATAACCCCTGAGCCCTGACTCACAAAATAACACAGGTGGGCCCCAGGCAGTCTTTTTGTCCCTGTCCCTACTCTGTAAGCTCTACTACCACCAGACTAGATAACTAGATGAAGGGGTGAGCATCTGACCCATAACAAACTTCTTTCCCCTCTGGCCACAGGTAGCTGGTTCCAAAGGCTAATATTTGATCTAAATTTGGCTGGAATTCCTTATTCAGAAATTTAGAACTGAGACTAAGATTCTGACCTTGATCAAGCTAGTTTCTTGAACACAAAAACATCAAATTGAGGAGAGGCCAAAGGTGACCATTTTGTATTTTCCAAGAAAATAAGCAAGGAGCAAAAGCAAAAAGAACCAAAAGGACTCCAGAGAAGCAGGAAACAAGGCAGACCAAGCCCCTCAAGATGGAATTCTAGGTTCCAAACCTAAAGGGAACCCTGCCTCTGAGTCCTAGGACCCCGTCTATTTTCCCAACAATATTTGTACTTGCCCTAAAAAAAATCCTAACTAATATAACCATGACTTTTTTTTTTTTTTTTTTTTTTTTGGAGACAGTCTTGCTCTGTCGCCCAGGCTGGAGTGAAGTGGTGTGATCTCGGATCTCTGCAGCCTCTGCCTCCTGGGTTCAAGTAATTCTCATGCCTCAGACTCCTAAGTAGCTGAGACTACAGGCACGCACCACCACACCCAGCTAATTTTTGTATTTTTAGTAGAGACAGGGTTTCACCATGTTGGCCAGGCTGGTCTCAAACTTCTGACCTCAGGTGATCCACCCACCTTGGCCTCCCAAAGTACTAGAATTACAGGCGTGAGCCACCACACCTGACATAACCATGACTTTTAAAAATTCAGGTCCCCAAGCCAGCTGGGCAGCTGTCAAGACTGTGACACCCTTAGGAGCCAGCCAGACAGCACCACCTCTCCCAGACTGCAATTCATAGACAAGGGCCAGGGCAGGCAGGTGCTGGCCTAGGATGGTTTCTTCAAGCAGGTAAGGAGGTCCTACCCACCATAGGCACATCTCAGAGATGGAGATGACAGACTCAAATATCAGGAAAATAAAGTAAAAGAAACTTGTGTAATGAGAAGAAGGGTTAAAAAAAGAAAGAAAGAAAAAGAAACACAGACATTATAAAGCCAGCCTGCATGACTTTGGACCATAAAAAAAAATTATGTCAAAGAGAAGATAAGAGTCCATGGGAAAATTAAACTGCCTCTCCAAAGATTTCAGTCCCTGCTGCTCAACTTCTCACTTTATGACCACAGGCAAAACCCTTCCCATTTGCGGGGTCCCAGTTGCCTCAAGCAGCACATGAGGTTTAGACTCAGTGATCCCTAAAGTCCTCTCTTATTCCATCAGTGGACTATGTATGGCAGCCTGGAACTCTGAGGAAGCCAAACCAAAAAGCAAAGTTCAGTCTGCTGCTGTTCATACGGTGTATCTGGGGCTCTGGTATGACTTGCCATAGTTGCTGGCCTCAAAATTCCCTCCGAGAACCAATTTGTGCTTCTCTAGACCTGTTTCCTGGAAGTTCTGCCTACCTGAATCATGAAGTCATTTTCTTCCTGGACCTCACAGATGCAACGGACCACCTCAAGGTCATAGCGCTCATCCCCATCAAGTTCCTCTTCTGGATTGGTGGTCACATCCACATCTTGGCCATACTCATCATCGCTCCAGAGAAAGCTCTCAGAAGAGGACTCACTCAAATTATCCTCCTCTATGAGGAAAGGGAAAACAATAGTTACTATTTTAAGTTATAAAATTAAAAAACCTCTAATTGTCAAGAATGAAAAACGACCTTATAGGCCAGGCACCTGTAATTCCAGCACTTTGGAAGGCCGAGGCAGGCGGATCACTTGAGGTCGGGAGTTTGAGACCAGCTTGACCAACATGGAGAAACCCTGTCTCTACCAAAAACACAAAAGTGTAGTGGCGCACACTTGTAATCCCAGCTACTCGGAAGGCTGAGGCAGAAGAATCGCTTGAACCCAGGAGGCGGAGGTTGCGGCAAGCTGAGATCGCACCATTGTACTCCAGCCTGGGCAAGAAAAGCGAAACTCCATCTCAACAAAAAAAAAAAAAAAAATGACCTTATGGTCCCACTCATGAATATTCACAGGGCAAGGAAACAAGGATGCCAATCTGTCCTTGGGTCTGTCATTTAGTAACAGCCCAAATGAAGCACCCTGCCTGGCAGTGAACTCAACTCCATTTCCTCATTCCACTAAGAGAATGAGGCCCAAGGGCAGTGGCCACTCAAGATCATAGAACCGTGTGGCAGAGGAGATACAGCTCCCCACGAACCACACAGACTATCATTCCTGACAGTTCTAACATGTTCTTCAGCCTCACCCCATCCAGCCAGGACATGGCTTACAGTCTGCCTATGTCCAAAGCTACCTTTAAAACTCTATAAACAAAGGCTTGGCATGGTGGTTCATGTCTCTAATACCAGAATTTTGGGAGGCCAAAGGGGGAGGATTGCTTGAGCTCAGGAGTTCAAGTCAAGCCTGGGCAACACGGTGAAACCCTATCTCCACTAAAAGAAAAAAAAATTAGCAGGGCACGAGATGGTATATGCCTATAGTCCCAGCTACTCAGGAGGCTGAGGCGGGAGGATCCCTTAAGCTAGCAAGTTAGAGGCTGCAGTGAGGTATGATCACACCACTGCACTCCATCCTGGATGACAGAGTAAGACTTTGTCTCAAAAAACAAACAGGCCAGGTGCAGTGACTCACGCCTGTAATCCCAGCACTTTAGGAAGCCAAAGTGGGCGGATCACTTGAGCCCAGGAGTTTGAGACCAGCTTGGCGAACATGGCAAAACCCTACCTCTCCTAAAAATACAAAAAGTTAGCTGGGTGTGGTGGTGTGCGCCTGTAATCTCAGCTACTGGGGAGGCTGAGGCAGGAGAATCACTTGAATTGGGAGGCAGAGGTTGCAGTGAGCCAAGATCATGCCACTGCACTCCAGCCTGGGTGACAGAGTGAGACTCACAAAAACTCTGTAGACAGTGCAGAATGAGGAAGGAGAAGATTCCAGAAATAATCAGAGCCAGAATCACTTGATGCTGATTAGTTATCATCACAGCTAACTTTTACTAAGCGCTTGTTCTATACCAGACACTGTTCTAAGTCAGTCATAACTATTAATACTTTTATGGCACTTCACAGATATTGTATTTTTTTTTTTTTTTTTACAAATTGAAGATGTGTGGCAGCAACACTGAAAGTCTATTGACACCATTTTTCCAATGGCAAATACTCACTTCCTATCTATCAGCATTTTTAAGCAATAAAGCATTTTTTAATTGTTATTTTACTTATTTTTGAGACAGGGTCTCATTCTGTCACCCACGCCGGTATACAGTGGCATGATCATGGCTCACTGCAGCCTTGACCTCCTGGGCTCAGGGGTTTCTCCCACCTCAGCCTCCTGAGTAGATGGGATTACATATGCATGCCACAACACCCAGCTGACTTTTTTTGTATTTTGTAGAGGCAAGGTTTGCCATGTTGCCCAGGCTGGTCTTGAACTTCTGGACTTAAGCAATCTACCCACCTCAGCCTCCCAAAGTGTTGGGATTACAGGTGTGGAACATCATGCCCAGCTTTCATTTTTTAAATTGTTAACACAATGAAATGTAATGCTAGTTCAAAAATTTGAACTAGCATCAAAACAAGATTGATCTAATGAACAATATGTCACATTTTTCAGAACATATGGAAGAACCGAAATAATTTTATCTCAAAGAAAGTTTTAAGAAATAAAACAGGCCCCCGGTGATGGCTCGTGCCTGTAATCCCAGCACTCTGGGAGGCCAAGGCGCACAGATCAAGAGGTCAGGAGTTCGAGACAAGCCTGACCAACACGGTGAAACCTTGTCTCTACTAAAAATACAAAAAATTAGCCAGGCGTGATGGCACGCGCCTATAATCTCAGCTACTCAGGAGGCTGAGGCAGGAGAATTTCTTGAACCTGTAAGGCGGAAGTTGCAGTGAGCCAAGATCATGCTACTGCACTCCAGCCTGGGCGACAGAGTGACTACGTCTCAAAAAAAAGAAACATATTTTATTGATTTTTATTTTTTTTTTTACTTTTTTTTTTTTGAGAAAGAGTTTGGCTCTGTCGCCCAGGCTTGAGTGCAGTGGTGTGATCCCGGCTCACTGTAACCTCTGCCTCCCACATTCAAGCGATTCTCTTGCCTTAACCTCCCAAGTAGCTGAGATTACAGGTGGACACGACCACACCCAGCTAATTTTTTGTATTTCTGTAGAGACAGAGTTTTACCATGTTGGCCAGGCTAGTCTAGAACTCCTGGGCTCAAGTGACCCACCTGCCTCAGCCTCCAAAAGTGCTGGGATTACAGACATGAGCCACCACGCCTGGCTCCGATTTTTAAATTGAATAATTTTTCTATTAAATTGAGTTCTGAATATTCTGGTTATTAATCTCTTGTTGATGAGTAGTTTACAAATATTTTCTTTCATTCAGTAGGTTTTTGGTTCACTCTATTGATCATTTACTTTGCTGTGCAAAAGCTTTTCAGCTTGATGCACTCCTGCTTGTCCATTTCTGTATCTGTTGCCTGTATGCTTTTGAGGATTTACTCCAAAAAACTTGACATTTCTCATCAGCAATATTTTTCAATTAAGGTAAATTCATTGTTTTACACATGTGCTACTGAACATTTAACAGACTACAATATAGTATAAACATAACTTTCTTTTTTTTTTTTTTTGGAGCCGAAGTTTGCTGTTGGTGCCCAGACTGGAGTGCAATGGCACGATCTCGGCTCACCGCAACCTCCGCCTCCTGGGTTCAAGCAATTCTCCTGCCTCAGCCTCCCGAGTAGCTGGGACTACAGGCACGCACCATCATGCCCAGCTAATTTTTGTATTTTTTTAGTAGAGACGAGGTTTCACCTTGTTGACCAGGATGGTCTCGATCTCTTGACCTCGTGATCCACCCGCCTCGGCCTCCCAAAGTGCTAGGATTATAGGCGTGAGCCACCGTGCCCGGCCTAAACATAACTTTCATACACACTGGGAAAATAAAAAATATGTGTGACTAGCTTTATTTGTTTTATTGTTGTAGTCTAGAACCAAACCCATAATATCTCCCAGGTATGCTTGTATTTTCCAGTAAATGATCAGCAAATGATCAGGCCAGCAGAGCCTCCTTACCTAATGCTTTCACTTTCCCTTTTTGGTGTCCAGATTCTGGGCCATGGAGCTGCGGGCTCATATGGACACCTGGTTTGTGTGAGGACCCACACCTGGTAACAGCAAATGCCTTAGGGGGAGAAGGTTCCTGGGAGGTGTCACTGATCTCTTCACTGCAGGGGCATTCTGGAAGAACAGGATCAGGAAGGAATAAACAACCCCAGATATCATCGGTGCATTCCACAATCAATCTCATCCAACCAACAAGCCTCCTGTTCGAGCAGCACATAGGCTCAGGGACAATTCAATCAGAAAGAGTTGTGGAGAGCAGATGTAGGGGACCAAACAGTTCCTCTTCACCATCACCTGTCTCCTCTTTTTCTGATAAGATTGTTTTTCTCAGCTAGAAGATACACTGAGAATAAAACATGGCATCCTTTAAGTTCCAAGGTCAGAACATAGATTTTTCTAAACATTTTTGTGAGGGCTAGACACAGTTTTTAAGAAGGGAATCCTGCCAGGCTTGGTGGCTAACACCTGTAATCCCAGCACTTTGGGAGGCCAAGGCAGGCAGATCACCTCAGGCAGGCAGTTCGAGATCCACCTGACCAACATGGAGAAACACCATCTCTACTAAAATTACAAAAAATTAGCCAGGCGTGGTATGTGGCATGCCTGTAATTCCAGTTACTCAGGAGGCTGAGGCAGGAGATCGCTTGAACCTGGGAGGTGGAGGCTGTGGTGAGCCGAGATCATGCCATCGTACTCCAGCCTGGGCAATGAGAGCGAAACTCTGTCTCAAAAATAAAAAACAAAAAAACAAAAAAAACGAAGGGAATCCTTTCTTGAGAGGGCTCAAAGATGTGTTTAAGAGTCATGTGTGTGAACAAATACCATCACTGACTTGCACATCTGCTTACACTTCGATGCTTTCATATGTACCAGCCTGTAGCAGGGCACACTGGCCAATGCAGCAAGTGGGAAGGCTTTTCAATGCCAGCAGGACTTTGTAACACCTGGGTAAGTGGGCGCTTCCCCTTCCAGGGCCTACTAGATTGAGCCCACATGCCCTGGTAAAGGACTACTTTACCTTCCTCTGCTCAACGTAGGCTCAGAGGCTATAGTGGGAGAAAGCAACCCCTCCCCACTCATAATAAGGAAACCTAAGTGAAACCTTCAAGGGAAAAATTACCAGGTTTGGTTTTCTTTTTCTTTTTCTTTTTCTTCTTTGGCTTCACTCTCACAAACTCTTTGAATTTCTTTTCTTTATTCTTTTCCTTGTCTTTTGCAGCTAGAATTAAACACAAATGTTGGCATTTTAACATTCTGTTTTCAATGCTGGGGTGCTTATTCTTTTCTTAATTAAGCATGTACAGTGGGCCGGGCTCTGCCTGGGAAGTCTGGAGCAGGATGCCTATAGCACAGCCACACCTCCATCACTTACCCTTTCGATCCAGCTCAGCACACTCAGGCCCACTGCCTGTCATTGTAAATGGGTTTTATTGAAAAACACCATGCTTACTGGTTACATGTCTTTCACACTTTGACAGCAGAGTTGAGTAAGAGGCCAGAGATCTTATGTTCTCCAAGGTTAAAAATATTTATTATCTGGCCCTTTAGAGACAAGTTTGGAAAATTCTACTTAGATCACTGCTCCTCAACTTTGGCTATATACTGGAATCACCTGGGGATCTGATTTTTTTTTTT